ATAGGTTATATGCAAATGCAATGCCATTTTATATAAGGGATTTTTTCTTTTAATATGTCTTTATTGATTTCAGAGAGAGGAAGGGAGAGGGAGAGAGAGAGAGAGAAACATCAATGATGAGAGAGTCATTGATCAGCTGCCTCCTGCATGCCCCCTACTGGGGATCAAGTCTGCAACCCAGTTATGTGCCCTGTCCAGGAATCAAACCGTGATCTCCTGGATCCTAGGTTGATGCTCAACTGCTGAGCCACACCTGCTGGGCTATATAAGGGACTTTGAGCATCTGTGGATTTTGGATCCTGGGAGTCCTGGACCCAATCCCCCATGAATACCGAGGGATGACTGTACAAAGTATGGGAATTTTAATATTTTCAATTTAACTATCACGTTGATTAATTTTTCTATTGACACTTTGCCCATTTATTATTGACAAAATATTGAGAGCTACTAGTGTCCATAAAAGTTATCAGCTTATCACTTCTATTTGTACAACAAATATAATTAATTTGGATGTTAACTAGATTTATTATAGTAAACATTTCACAATATATACAAATATAATGTCACATACCATTTATATCTCAAAAATATGTAAGTAAATTTTGGATTATAAATTTCAGCGTGGTTTTTTTTTAATTCTCACGTGAGGATATGCTTATTGATATATTAGAGAGGGGGGAAGAGGCAAAGAGAGAGAGAAAGAGAAAGAAACATTGATGTGAAAGAGAATATCAGCTGGTTGCCCTCTATACGTGCTCTGATCAAGGATTGAGTGTGCAACCTAGGTATGTGCCCTGACTGGGAATTGAACCTGCAACCTTTCAGTATACAGGACAGTGCTCCAGCCAACTGAGCGACATCAGCCAGCGCATAAATTTTAAATATTCTAACTCTGTACTATCCAGTACAGTAACCACTAGCTGTATGTGGCTCTTGAGCATTTGAAATATGGCTAGTGTGAATTGAGATGTGCTGTAAGTGTAAAATGCACAATATGTTTTGAATGCTTAGTATAACAAAACATGTAAATTGGTGAAAGGGGTCCAAAGGTACAAACTCCAGTTATAAATAAGTCATCGTGATTTAATGTACAACATGGTGACTACAGTTAATATTATTGTATTGCATATTTGAAAGTTGCTAAGAGAATAGATCTTAAAAGCTCTCATCACATGAAAAGCATTACTATTTTGTAACTGTAAGGGACAGATATTAACTAGACTTATTGTGGTGATCATTTCATAATGTATATATATGTTAAATCATGTTGTACACCTGAAACTAATATAATGTTGTATGTCAATTATACCTCAATTTTAAAAAAATTAAAAATCAAGTAAAAAATATAAAATATCTGAAAATTTAAATGTGGATTATATGTTGAAATAACTTAGAGTACATAGCATAAAAATAAAATATATTATTGAAATTAATTTTGACCTTTTACTTTTATGAGTGAACTACTAGAAAATTTGAAATCATATGGTTCATCTTATGTTCTATTGGACAGTGCTTTGCAAGAGCCAGTGCTCTAACAAGCAAATCAAGTAGTATATAATCTATTTCTACACGCCTAAATCAACAGTGACTACATTTGTAAAGTGGGATGAAAAGCATTTTGCTATATTTTTTTACCTTGAATTTTTAAAAATAGTTGCAATTAATCAAAGTTTTGTGTGATTTCATATATCTATATGATATGGAGGACATGCATAAATAATGCAAAACTTTTACGTAGCCAACTCCTAAATGAGTGATACAGATAGTATTAATACTGTGGGCATTCCAAGGATAAAGCTGTTGCTGGAATCATTGGAAAGCTATCTCAGAGACTTTTGGGATTTTTATTTACCAGAAATTGAAAGATGTTTCAAGTGGGCAGAAAACAGTAAGCTGGAATGCTTGAATAAAGCCCAGATAGGTAGTGGATAGTGAACAGGCCAGAATGATCTGAATCAAGGATTTCAGTGTAGAAGTGAGAGGGAAGGATTGGAGAGTTAGGTTGACACTGAATATTGGGGCTCTGAGGCTATGGAAAGAAATTTGGATGAGTTTGTATAGGTATTTAGGGGCCATAAAAGATATTTATGAACTGAGAAGTGGCATGAAAGCAGTACTGCAGTTTTGGAAGATTGGTTTGGCTATAGGAGATTATCCGTAGCTGTTTTTCTGAAGGGAGAAGGTACAGCGATACCCTAGAGAAACGGGAAAATAGGGGATAGGTTTAAGATGTAGGAAGGCAGAATCATCAAGACTTTCTGTTTAGGGGCGCCCTGGCCTGTGTTGCTCAGTTGGTTGGAGCATCATTCCATACACCAAAAGGTTGCAGGTTTGATCCCCAGTCATGGCACATACCTAGGTTGGGAGTTCAGTTCTGGTCAGGGTGCGTACGTGAGGCAACCGATCGATGCTCTCTCTCCTTTACTCTTCTTTACTCTCTCTCTAAATCAATAGAAACATATCCTTGGGTGAGGATTTTTAAAAAAAGACTTACTGTTTGGGGAAAAGTGAAAAGGAGAAATTGAAACTAACCTTGGTTCCCCAAATACCAACAACAAAAATAAAAATAAAGGTATTTAGCTGTCTGTAATATTTTGCAGTTTTGAAACTGTAAGATAACCAATTGCAGCCCTTTATTACAGATGAGGAATTTGAGATAAGGGGTTTAAAGAACTTGACCAAAACCGTAGTCTCCTTGTATTAAGTGATGGAGGTAAAAATTGATCACAGGTTTTTTTCTTCTTAATGTATTACCTTTGGCATCTACTTTATTCCCTAGGCGAGTGTCTCATGGTTTCTTGACTCTTTATCACTTTGCACAACCAGTCAGTCACTAAGTTTTATTATTTGTTTTCTAAGTATTTTTCAAATCTGCCCACTTGTCTTTGTGCCACTTCTACCTTAGTTCAGGTGACTCATCTTTCTGGATTCATATTTTCCTGAATTTACATCTAATCTCTGCCCACCTCCTAAAACAGATAAGCAAGTAAAAGAAATCTGTTTTCCTAAAATTCAGTCATTGAAATCTTTCTAAATCACAGAGCACTCTCTTGTCTGAATTTTTAAATAAAAATTTAAGAAGAATCTGGCCTCGTACCCTTTTTCTCTGTTCATGCTTCCAGTTCATGATCACTTTGTTTTTCAGCTTTTTGTGTCTGCGGTTAATTCTGTAAGTAAGGTCCTTTCCCTCTTTTTTCCACTCTACCCTCAATCCCATACTTCTGGTCTTGGCTTAGTATAATTGTTTGTTTACTCGTCTATAACTACCCCTCCTGGCTCCTCCCCTTACCTCCAGTTCACCCATGGTCTTACCCCCCTAAGAAGACTCACTTAAGTAGGCTCATTAAGGGCAGAGACTATTTCTTGCTTACTAATAGTGGACCCACAAAAAGTTGTTCAATGGCTGAATGTCTTTATACTTGAAGGTCCTTTCAAGTTGGAAGTAGCTTTAGTGAAGAATAAAGAGTCTGAAAGAATGACAGAAAATAATTAGTCCATCATTTCCCAAACTGTACTTCAGACCACTTGTATCCTACAAGATACTGTGTGTTTCATGAAAAAAGGTTCTATGATCAATTACATTAGGAAGTGCTACAGGCTATGTCTCTGTCTTGGATATTCACAGTGCATATAGCAACAATCAGTAAAGGCTTTAAGACGTCTTGTAGTCACAAGAAAATTTGTTTTTAATCTAGCATTTTCTTAAAGTATTTGATTATGGAACCTTTGTAGATCGTATACCCTTGATTTCTCTTAGGTTACTAATGGTTTTTGGCATTTGGGAAATGCTAAATTTGACTGGCTGTGTGTGTTCTTCATTTCCTTCGGGCCTAATTAATATAATTAAGCAATAAAATCAGATCGTGCTCAAGGGATATTTGGAGGAACTCCAGTTGTTTATAGTTAGAAGAGAGAATCTGAGAGAAGATATAGTAATCTTCAAATATTTGAAGGTTCCAATAGAAGGGCAATTGAAAATATAAGAGAATAAGAGCAAGAACCAGGGAGGAAGGCAGATTTTGATTTTGTGTAAGGGTAACTTTCTAAAATTAGAACTTTGGAAGGTAAGTAAATTTTCCCTTCCTGAAGGTTGTCAAGCATCCATCTATAAGGATGCTGTAGAGGAGTTTAGCACAATAGATAAGGAATAGATTGGAAAATTAGTTTTCTTAAACAGTTTTTTTTTTAGTATGTCTATTGATTTCATAGAGAGGAAGGGAGAAAGGGAGAGACAGAAACATCAGTGATGATGAGTCATTGATCGGCTGCCTCCTGCACGCCCCCTCCTGGAGATTAAGCCTGCAACCCTGGCATGTGCCCTGACTGGCAATCAAACTGTGACCTCTTGGTTCATAGGTTGATGCTCAACCACTGAGCCACACCAGGCCAGTTTGAAAACTATTGAACTATTTCTGAGATATCTATCAACTTGGAATATATGTTCCTTGATTTCTTTTAAATTCTCTGAATCTATATTGATCTGCAGTCTCAGTAAAGAAATCAAATGTTTTATGAGAAACAGTATAAATTTTAGTTGTACAGTTAAGTGCTTTTATGATGGGCTATTTTTATAGACTTTATTTTTTAGAGCAGTTTAGATGCACAGAGAAATTTAACACAAAGTACAGAGAATTCCCATATGCTCTTTTCCCCCACTGTCCACATCCTGTACCACAGTGGTACATTTGTTACAGTTTGAACCCACACTGACACATCATGATCACCACCAAGTCCATAGTTTGTTTATATTAGAGTTTACTCTTGATATTTTGAAAGAAAATGTGAATACATCTTCTAATTTTTAAGAAAGTAGATTTTAGTTGTTTCTTCCTATAGTTTAGTCTTTTCTGATTCAGAGATCTAAAAGATAGTTAAAATCAACACCTTTTTTTGAAAAATTATTCAGTGTTGGGGAAATTTCTTTTTCTGTAATTTAAATGTTTACTTTTTTTTTTTTTTTTTAATTTTGCTAGCTAACAGTATTTTTTCTTCATTTTAAGTACCAAAAGAATTGGTGGAGCTCCATTTGAAGTTGATGAGGAAGATTGGCAAATCCGTTACAGCAGACAGATGGGAAAAATATTTGATCAAGGTAAATATTTGTAAATTGCCTTCTCTATTACTGAAATATTACTGTACCTAGCATAAGTTTGTTTATGTTTCATAATAAGCTTAACTTTTTTTTTTTTAATATATCTTGATTTCAGAGAGAGGAAAGAAGAGGGAGAGAGAGAGATAGAAACATCAATGATGAGAGATTCATTGATTGGCTATCTCCCACAAGCCCCCGACTGGGGATCGAGCCCGCAACCCAGGCATGTGCCCTGACCGGGAATCAAACCTTGATCTCCTGGATCCTAAGTCGAGGCTCAACTGCTGAGCCACGCCCGGCTGGGCAATAAGCTTAATTTCTAAAATAGTCTCCAAAAAGTTGCAAAATATGACTTAGAATTTCATATGATTACTATCAGTATGTGATTCTCTTTTGCAGCTACTAAGCAACAGTCTTGAGTCCTAAAGTTAGATTTCAGAGATATTATGTCTCTTTTGCACCTAATACTGTTCTCAGGACTTTTCATGTCTTCTCTCATTTACTCCTTAAATTCATCTTGATCAAATCAAGTAAGATACAGATAAGGCCCAAGAAAGTCAGCATTTCCTTGAGATCACACAGTATGCAGACAGCCAGGATTTGTTTCTTACTTAAAAGGTAAAATGCCCAAAGAACGTTATATCAATATAAGAGACTTCTAAGTTACCAGCAAGGCCAAAACTAGCCTTAATGAGAACAACCTAGGTAATCAGAAAATGGTTGCTTTAGTATGAACCCTGGAATTGCATTTAAACTTTAAGAACCATACTGTTTTTGGAAGCCTAAGTTGATGTATGTACCTCTTCTGGGGGTATTTTGAATTCTGTGACATACCAGAATATTAGGTTATATTTTTAGGTCATTGAAAAACCATGTCATTTTCTTGTCTTCGTTTGTGTGTGTGTATACACACACACACACGCACGTATTTTCATGTCTGCTTTTTTTTGGTGGGGAAATGTATATGACTATAGAGTGCTATGAAAAGAGAAAACAAGTTGCTTGTTTTTATTATAAAAATCACATGTGCTGTTCCAATTATCTTTGCTGTGTAACATACCACTGCAAATAAAGTGACATAAAATAATAATCATTTTAGTCAGCTCACTGATTCTTTGGATCAGGAATTCAGAAAGGTCATTTTCAACATACTCTGTTGGTTGAAGCAGCCACAATTCTCCCCAGATTCACTAAGAGGAAATATAGACCCCAAACTTTCAGTGGTAGTAGTGGCTTAACTTTTGAAAAACTCAATATGAAATATATTTCAATATTTTTGGACAAGTTTGAGGCATTGCAAAATTGGCTCAGCATTTCAAAAATTCAGTGCTATGGAATTTTCTAAAAACCCTAATTAATGTTTAATTAAATATCTGAAATATGTTGCCCTGGCTGGGTGGCTCAGTTAGTTGGAGTGACATCCCATACACTATAAAGGTTGTGGTTCAGTCCCCTGTTCAGGCACCTATGGGAGGCAACCTGATCAATGCTTCTCTCTCCTTCCTCTCTCTCTAAAGTCAATAAACACACATCCTCCGGTGAACCTTTTAAAATCTCTTTCCTTGGTTTCTTCCTACCTTCTGTTGTTCTTTCGTATTTTCTTTTGCTGACTCTTTTTCTCTGACTCCTGAAACATTTCATGTGTAGCACACAGTGCAGAATTACCTAATAGAAGAGCTGGAAGATGCCTTAGCATAACTCATTTTAACACAGGATCTAACCATAAATATGGTTAACTAAGAATCCACAGCTGCTAAAGTTAGCACATTTTCATCCATCTATATAGTAAACATTTTTTGATGGCCTACCCTGTAAGGGACTTGGTAAGTTACTGCAGGAGATATATGAGACACTGATGTTTATGAGTCTTGGAGTTCCATAATGGAGGAAAACTAAAGTAGGCACACAAGTAAAGATAATGCCAGGCATAATGTCAGTGCTTTAAGTACAGTGTGGTATCAGGATAAAGCAGTTTGGGGGTATGCAAATGTACTTAAAATTTTCTCATCTTTTTGATGTTCGTGGTAAAGATTATGACCAATAAAAAATAGAGAGGCATTTATCTCTTTCCTTCCTTCTAAAGAATAATGCTCGGGAAAAGAATGTGGAAGATATAAATAGACCAAAATGGTAAGGTAGGAAATATTCTACTTGAAAGCATACTTAGAGAAGTGGTCACTTGGTGATTTTTATGGAAGGCATTTAGAACAGGTGATACGGGTTACATGGTAGGCAAAAGTTTGACCCTTATGGTCTTTGCTCCTTGGTGTTACATTCGTGAATATGTTATACGGCAAAGGGAGCTTTATAGATGTAATTAAGTTTATTAATCAGTTGACCTTATGGTAAGGAGATTATTCTGAATTATCCAAATGGGCCCAATTTAAATTACATGAGCAGAAGAGGTAGGCAGAAGGAGAACTCAGAAATACTTGAAGTGTTAGAAGGCCTCACCACACTGGGAGCTTGAAAGTGGAGGGTCACATGGGAAACAGGAGAAGGAAATAAATTCTGCCAACAGTCTGAATGAGTTTGGAAGTTGGTTTTTGCCTAGAGCCCCCAGAGAGGAACACAGGCCTGCCAAAACCTTGATATCACCTTTGTGAGACTATAAGCAGAGAACCCAGCCAAGCTGAGCTATGCAGGACTTCTGACCTACAGAAACTGTGAGATAATAATTGGGTGTTGTTTTAAGATGCTAAATTTGTAGTATTTTATCGCCCAGCAATAGAACAGTAATTCAAATTTATTCTGTTAATGAGGAATTTATAATTGGTGAGAAAACTCACCAATCATTGGCAGTTTCTAAAAATTCCTTGCCATTTTCATCAAAATGTCTCTTTCCCTATAAAAAACATAAAAGATACTATTAAGATAATTTATTTAATAGAAGCTACTATACCTTTATCATCTCTCGCCTGAGCATTCACATTCTAATTGGTCTCCTAGCTTTTAGTGTTCCTGCTACAAGAGTGACCTTTTAAATACAAAGTTTTAAAAGTAACTATTATGTCACTTTCAGAATTATTTGATGGTTCTCTTTCACTTAAAAATCTAAACTTTGTCTTAGCATTCAATCCTCTTAATAGTTGAGCCACTTGTCTCCAGCCACATCTAATGACATTCTCTCCTATGTACCCTATTAATATTCTATGCCACTCACAGAACGTGCTGTCTTTTTCATTCTTCAGAGTTTTTGCACATACTGTTATTACCTGCCTGGAATGCCTTCACACCAATTTGGTTTCCTGGCAAACTTATTTATCCTTTAGATCTCAGCTGAAGTATTACTTTCTCCTTGAGGCCTTCTCCTAGGAAGATGTTCTTTCATGGATTTATGTGTAACTCCATTAAATAAACTGTTACACAGTTTTCATAGCGAATGTTCACTATGTACCAGGCACTATATTTAATTCTTTCCTTATATAGCTCACCTTTGAAATAGTTATTATCCTCATTTTATGCACAAGGAAATTGATTTCAACAAAATAAATAATTTGTCCAGTCTCACATTGCTAGAGATGGCAGAGCCAGCATTCAAGTCCAGGACTTTTTGACTATTCAGTGCTTTGAAATACTACTTATATTGCCCCTCACATTTGCTTTTCTTGTAGATTGTAAGCATCTTGAATGCTTCTTAAAAATCTTTTATGTGTCGGTACTAGAGGAATTAATTAATCATTTAGACAGTTTGAGTTTTCTTTCACTTGGCTGCTAATGAGCTTAACTCCATATTTACTTCTTAGTTGTACTCATTAGCTACATTACCTGGTTTTCTGATGGAGATTTTTACCTTCTTTGTTACATGGCTCTTGATCTTTTATCTTTCTCTTTGTGGCATCACTGTATGTATGTATTACAGAGAGTTGTTTCTTTTCTGTTTGAAGTCAGTGGAATATAATTAACATAAAATTCTGTTTAAATCCAGAGCAAATATCTAGCATCTGTTAAGCCTTGTTCCTTGGCTTATCACAGATGTTACCAGTCTAAGCTTTTCCTGCTAAGCATGGACTTAGCAGACTACACTGCTACCACAAATCAGTTAGTGTCGGCATCTTGTTTGTCATCTTTTGTTAGTAGCTTTCTAAAACAGTTGAGCTCTAAGACCTATAGAATGAGTAGACATTTTTTAAAACTATGTTTTTATTGATTTTAGTGAAAGGAAGGGCAGAGGGAGAAAACATTGATTTGGTTGGTTGCCTCCCACATGCACCCCAACCAGGGACCAAACCTGCAACCTGGGCATGTGCCCTGACTGTGAATTTCACTGGCGTCCTTTGGGTGCATGGGGTGATGCTCAACCAACTGAGCCACACTGGGCAGGGTGAATGAGTAGAAATTTGATAGGAAATTACCAATAGCTTAGCTTCACTGTAATGTAAGTACCTAGAGAGTGGCAGTGAGTATCGATCAGCATAGGGGTCATTTGAAAGGAAGTTATTGTGATAATCCAATTAAGTAATGAAGACACCTGAATTATGGTTTTGGTAATAGGGATGGAAAGGAGAGAGTGGATGTCACAGCTGTTCAAAAGGGAGAATCAATAAAAGTCTTGGTAACTGATAAGAGAGGGAAAGAGAGAGGTGTTTAGCAGCCCAACCAAGGGCATTTATTTATTCTGCACTTGCCAACATATATTCTCCAATATCATCCAAAGTGTAAAGGGACCCAAAAATCTAGCTGGTGACTCTTTTACTTGTAAGATGGAATTACCCTTCTAAAAATAAACCCAGTGAGTGGAAATTTCAACTAGCAGTTCTTTGAGGACCTGTTAACCTTTTGCCTAGTCAGATAGGCCTTGGCCTTATCAAGCTTCATATTCCTTTTACTTGACAAGACACAAAGAAATTTCTTTGCCAATAAACTCTCATATTTCCATGAAACTACTCTATTTCCTGTTGTTAATGATTTTAGATACCACATGAGCAATTACAGACTCCTTAGCCATGGGTAATGAATACCGCTATGTTAATAAACAGATACCTGCCTTCAACAAATTC